GTCTCCACCACATCCTCCTGAGGACCCTCCACTGCAAGAGCCAGTGACACACTAAATAACTCAAAACAAGGTCAAGTACTTCTACAAATACTCTCAACACTCACCTTGACCTGCGTCCGTTTCAATGTCAACAAGAGGTTTGCCTACAAGGGCAATGGAATCGACATCATAGTGGAGTTTGCGAATGATTCCATCGTAACGGCTGGTGATGGTGACAGACGCTTTGTCACTCTGTACTTCACAGATGCTGTCGAACTGAGACACTTTGTCGCCTTCTTTCACATACCTGATGATGAAAGACAGATAATGGCGACCTCTGCTGGTAGATATTTGTAAGTGTCAAAAAAGAAATTAAACTTACCATTCTTTAACTGTAACTTCCATAATGCCCTCTCCGATATCTGAGAGCTTGAACTGCAAAACTGGTCTTGCTGCAACTGCGATAAGCAGCATAAAGCAATTATAAATGCATTTTACTAATTGAGAACACAGAGACGTTTATTACAAACGTTAAAACTCACCATAGCTTGTGTGAAAGAAGCGATGCTGTTGTCCAGCGATGAGGGAATATGAGTGGGGTTGGGATACAAAGCAAGCAGCCTGGAGCTTCGAGCAGCAGTGTCTGTGCAGGCGAGCAGAGACCTGAAGCACATGACACAGAACAAAAACACGATGTTTGCAACATTTAAACTCAATGGAACAGCATGATCTAAAAATACAGCGTGCTAAACACACACAAAAAAAGCAAAATGAAGACCAAAAGCACGAATCTCTGAATGAAAATAATCGCCGCGTACGACCAGTTACAATGATTTAATTCCAAATTATATATAAAATATTAAACTTCTCCGTACATGTGAAAACACATGAAATAATGTCTTGAAAAGGCTGCGTATAACCAGCTGCAAATTTATATATATAATATAATAATAATAATCCTTATTTATTTTATATATAAATATATGCAAATTGATTTTGTATTAAATATACAAAATACTGCTTATTATTTAAAATGTAAATATTAATCAAATGTAGACATTTACACAACTAGTGGTCTCATGCATATATTAATTATAAAGTAATATAAATAAATCATATTAATTATAATATTATATATAGTAGTACATGTGAAATTGAAAGGGTTGCATATGATCGCTTACACACACACACATATATATATATATACATACATACATACATACATATATATATATAATTTATTTAATAAATGCAAACATTTACACTAGTGTATAAAATTATAATTAGTGCTGTCAAACGATTAATCGCATCCAAAATAAAAGTTTTTGTTTACATAATATATATTATTTATTAAATACATTTATAATATAAATAATATTAATATACGTAAATATATACAAGTAAATACATGTAAATATTTTCAAAATATATACCGTATGTGTGTGTATTTATATATACATAATAAATATACACAGTACTACACACACATATATTATGTCAACAAAAACGTTTATTTTGGATGGGATTAATCGCGATTAATCTATTGACAGCACTAATTATAATATATTATTGTATTATATAGCTACAAACATCTATCTACCTATATACGCACTCACACATATATACAGAGATAGATAGATAAATCGATAGATAGATAGAGAATGCTAAATTTATAAAGCTTTGTACAAGACTACAGAAAACTACATTTTTGTACATCTGAAACTACAAATATATATACTAAGCATTTTACATATTTTATAAATGTCAATACATACCATTCATTAATTAAATTATTAATAAACATTTATACTAGCCTCACAATATTTACACTAGACATTTACACTGGTCTCATATTTTTGGAGTTTTTTTTTTTTTCGTTGTAAACAACAGTTTTATGCTTGCTTTTTAACTATTTTCTTGGCGTTTACATGTTGGCAACTGTCCACACACATCACGCAGGTCCAGTGCTTCGGCTTCAGCTGCAGGCTGCTAGTTACCTCAGATCTTTCAGCTTTGTAATCGCTTACAAACGATGATTTGCGCCTAAATTGACTCTAAATATCACTCGTGGACGTTAGACGTCATTGCAATTGTAAGATGCGTGTAAAATGAAAGGTGAAAACATACCAGGCGTCTCATAAACGCGAATGGAGCCCGCACAGTGATGACGGTCGCCATCTTTCTCCAGCGATTTGGTGTAACCGGAAATTACGTCACCCTCACGCCCCGCTCCACTGACCAATCGGAGAGCTTTTTGGTCAAGGGCAAATATTGCAGATATTTTAACAGAATATTTCTAAAAAGAAAACCTTTGAATAGAACGAATAAATAGAAGAATTAATATAATAAATTACATGAAATTATATGAAATAATAAAGTAATAATATAAATATAATGATTAATTAAATACTAAATTCCTAATTGAAAAAAAAAATACAAATGTATAAACATCCAAAGAAAGAAACAAGGGAAAAGGAAAGGAAGAAAATATTAAAAGATTAAAATAGTTATATACAAAAGTAATAAATATATTACTTCAATGTTCGTTTGGTGTCATGTAGACCTACTAAATGTTTATTCCATATATTTCAAATGACCCACAAAATACACTAAGCCGTTTTAATTCTAATTATTAAAATATATTTCTTCAGAACTGTTTGAATGACACATACATGTTATGACACCTCTAAAATGTGTAAATAATAAACTGTTAATAAACATTTTAATAGATATTTTAACAGAATATTTCTAATAAAAAAGCTTTGAATAGAACAAATAAATCAAATAAAAAATAGGTTAAATTAATAAAAAAAAAACATTTTGATGACAAAGGGCAAATATTTCAGAGATATTTTAACAGAATATTTCTAATAAAAGGAAAAGCTTCGAATAGAACAAATAAACAGAAGAACTGATAAAAAAATAGAATAAATCAACATAAACGAGTATCGAATACATATATAAATTATTAACTACAGATAAACATTTGATAAAATAATAAAGTAATAAAATATTATATAAAATAAATATATTTTTATGATTACTTAAATACATACATTTCTAACAAAAAAAAAATAGCCAAAGAAAGAAACAAAGGTAAAGGAAAGGAAGAAAGAAAAAATATTTAAAAAGTTAAATACAAAGTAACTAATATATGCTTAGACCTTCAATGTTGGTTTGGTTTCATGTGCTAAATGTTTATTCCATATAGCCTATTTCAAATGACCAACAAAATACACTAAATACAGCCGTTTCAATTCTATATATTAAAATATATTTCTTCAGGACTGTTTGAACGAAACATACATGTTATGACACCTCTAAAATGTGTCAAAACATATAATAAAAATAGGGTTGGGTTTTTAAAAAAATATTTTGATGACAAAGTGTTGTACTGCTATCAGCTTATCCATCAGTTCTCGGTTCATTACGAATCGGACATGCTCACAAAAAAAACATTCTCGGTTCAATGAGTCAGTTAGTTCACTCGAAATCCGCTCAGTGCTAATGGAATGAACTGAGTGGTTTAGTGAACCGGTTCACACAATTAACTAAAAAGATCCGATTCAATAGAACGATTCATCAACGAATCAGACATCGCACTTCTGCGCATGCCCAGAGCCCATCATCCACCACAGCAGTGTGACTGGCAAGAGACTAGTTGCCGGAGTGTGATCGTATTGCCAGGAAATTCGCTCGATTCTTATTTGTGGTCAAGTCAAATCCATCTTTATTTATTTAAATCAACCCAACCGCGCACTAAGTTTATTTCTTATTTCAGTTGCGAAGAGCAGTTTCCCTAGTGCCAGAGCTTTTGTTGAGAAGTTCGCGTTTATCGCGGCATTGTTTGGGGCCATACGCCGGTTTATATGAACTTTAGTACAGTGTGAAAGTAGCGCGAGGTCTCTTTATTCCCACACGCGCGCTTTGATACATCGTAACAATTTCTCGCTTTTCGCGAAAATGGCCGCAACTACGTTTGAAATGGACGGAAGTGTAATGGAAGGGGTGAGTTTTCATTTTCGAGCCTTATTTATTTAATATCTCCGATTGAAGTATTCATATTTAACATAATAGAATGGCATCACCAGAAATAAATGGAGTAGTTGTCGGTAATTACTTAAAAAAACAAATTTTGGATGTTTGTCTTTAAAGGGAGGACAGATTTTAAGGGTGTCTGCGGCGCTGAGTTGCATCCAAGGGGCGTTAATCAAAATAAATAAAATCCGAGCCGGTAGAAGCACACCGGGTTTGAGGTAATGAAGAATTTGTTTTAAACGCATTATATATTCATTTCCGAGGCTTTATGTACATTTAAATAGTTATTTTTTATATGTGGAACATCCTCCATTGCCCCCCCCCCCTCCCCTTCCTATTCAACAGTGAACCATGAAACAAAGCAAAGTTGGTTTTTGGAGTCTAGTTATTCAATTTACACTTCACTTTTGGAGTCAAGCATATAGATATACGACTATATATTAAGTAAAGCTGTTTTAAACAAGTGTTTATCCCACAGAAATGCTGTTAAATACTTTTACCATTAATTTTTAATGGGCCCTTTGTTAGTTGGCACTGAAGCACATGGCTACTTTCCATGTTATCCTTCACTTGTATCTCTTTAAAAGGTCTGGATTTTTATCGAAGCTCTTTAATAACCCATTTTTCTTGTTGTTGTGCAGATTTATTGCTGTTTTAAATTTAAACATAAAGATGCAGCCTACATAAAAAGTTCTTAAAACTCAATCTAGTCTAATTTCCTGTCGATAAATGGAGCAAATCTGATTCTTTCGGTCGAAACGAGATGATTTCGAACTGCATGTACTTGGTTTTCCCTTCAATTGTTATCCCGTTCAACGTCACCAGGCCTCAGCATCTGTCAGGTCTCGAGCTGGTGAGGGACATGTGCAACGGCAATCTGGAAGGAGCCACAGTGGGATCCACGGAAATTACGCTTACTCCTGGGAAAATCAAGGGGGGGAATCACATCGCAGACACTCAGACGGCCGGGTAAGTATCGTTTTTAGTCATTTACGTTGCCTTGTTTGTTCCAAACTTGTGAAATTAGTTTCACAGCATGATGAAGCACTTTTGGCTCTAAGTGTACCTGTGTTGTCTGGGGTGTAGAAGCGTGGGACTGCTGATGCAGATCTCGCTGCCGTGTGCCCTGTTCGCTCAGGGTCCGTCAGAGCTGTGCCTAAAGGGAGGAACCAATGCTGAGATGGCACCCCAGATCGACTACACGCTGAAGGTATGTGTAGCTGTATGTTTGGACCGGGTTGAGTCATCAGCTGGACATCCTTCTAATTCTGCCGTTCAAATCTCTTTTAGGTCTTCAAACCAATCGCGGAGAGATTCGGAGTTCAGTTTGACTGCGATTTGAAAATGAGGTATTTATGCGCAACTTTGGTTCAGATGTGATTGTAATCATTAAAAGTAAAAGCTAAAACATTTTCAAAATATTTTTTTCCTCGTAAACAGAGGTTACTATCCTAAGGGAGGTGGTGAGGTGGTGCTCAAGGTGAACCCTGTGAAGGAACTGAGTCCCATCAACCTGACCGAAAGAGGAAATATCACCAAGATCTATGGCAGGGCCTTCGTGGCTGGAGTGCTGCCCTTTAAGGTATAAGATTGGTAACTTTTTTTTTTTATTTTGATTAGCTACACAGTTAACTACACAGTTTTTTGTTGCTAAATGGCCATGGGAAAAAATTCTCCCACAATGTTTAAAATAAATGGCTTTAGTACGTAGACTTGAAACAACAACAACATACTTAATTTTTTATGACTTCACCACATAATTTTTATTTTTCATAAGTAGCATTGGGGCAAAAAACTGGTTAGACACAATGCTTATTTTCCCCCTTTTTTTTTTTTTACTTCACTACACTATTTACATTTCAATTTTTTCAACTAGTCTTGAAAAACAAAAAAAGCTCAAACATCAACTTTTTTTTTGGCTTCAATGCATTTTTGGTTTTTGAATTTCCCCCCCCCCGCGGCTTTGTTTTTTACTTTGTAATAATTTTTTTTTTTTTTGATAAGGCTCCTAAACCAAAACATTTTTTTTTTTTTTTTTTACATAATTTTTGGTGGGGAGAAAAAAATCTCCTAAACCACAGCTTTCATTTTTGTAAATTCAGTAAATAGTTTACGTTTCTTTTTCCATAACTAGCCTTTGGGGAAAAAAAGCTCTTAAACCACAACATGTTTTTTTCTTTTTCTTCGCTACATAATTAGTGTTTATTTATTCGTGAATAGTGTTGGATAAAAAGCACCTTAACCACAACATTTTTTTGATTGTGTTTTACTTCTCTACATAATTGATGTTTGTTACATAATTTATGTTCGTAGCCTTAAATGCTCTTAAATCACAACATGCGTTGTTTTTGTTAATTCACTGCATAATTTATGTTTGTTTCTCATAACTAGCCTTGGGGATAAAAGCTATTAACCAAAACATGCTTTAATTTTATATACTTACTGAGATCATTTACATTTCTTTCAACACTATCTAGTCCAGAAGTGGCCTTGAGAAAGCGGAGTAAACCACAACATGCTTTGTTTTTAGGCTTTAATCAGCATTGTTTGGAAATAGTGGCATTGATGTTTATAAAACACACCATTTGCTTTGCAACTGCTCTTAACTTCCCTATAAACTTCGGTCTAATTGTTCTTGATGTTCAGTTGGCGAAGGACATGTCTACAGCGGCAGTCCGCACTATCAGAAAAGAAGTTAAGGATCTGTACATCAACATTCAGTCTTTGCAGGAGAAGGACAAGGCCTGCGGCAATGGCAACGGAATCATGTGAGTGCATCCGATCTCAAACCATCCGCCGCAGTTGTTTTGTGATTCCGTTTTGACTAACGTCTGTATATTTTGTGTCTCCTGGCAGAATAATTGCAGAATCATCCACTGGCTGCATATTTGCAGGATCATCTCTTGGCAAAAAAGGTAAGGCTTGTCTGGCTGCCCAGTCCTGAAGAATTAATTCAGTGTCATAGTTTTGGCAGTAGAGGGCGATACGTCACAATGAAAAGCCTGTTCATGTGTGCTTTGAGTTTTAATGTGGACAAGAGAAAGTCAGATTTCCTCTACTATGATGATTCAGTCTTAAAATTGCTATTCATTTAAAATTTGACTCTATTTTTGTTTTGTGTTCAGGTGTATATGCCGACAAAGTTGGCATCGAGGCTGCAGAAATGTTGCTAAGAAACATCAGGCATAATGGTTGCGTGGA